AATAATAATAATAATAATAATAATAATAATAATAATAATAACAATAATAATGATAATAACAATAATAATAATGAGATTAATTGGTGTAAATGGAACTTTTATTAGCGATTTTACTTTGTTTGTAAGTATTGGTAGAGAGGGAGAGAGAGAGAGACAGGGAGAGAGAGAGAGAGGAAGAGAGAGAGGAAAAAAAAACGGTTTCGTATTTATTTTGTTAAATCCATTTAAACATGATGATGGATGATTTCATTTTGATTGTGTTAATGATCAAATTTAAATTCAACTATAATTAATTTTAGGATGTTATCAATGGTTTGATTATTTGTTTGTTAAATAAAATACAAAGTCAAATGGGAATTAATTTAAGTGAATTTTTTTAAGGTAAAAGATATTAGAATTTTAAATTGATAAAGGTCATAAATGAAATTGAACCTTATTTTGCAATTAAACTTCGTGAAAGATATGATATAATAAACGCCTAATGAAAAATAAAAAATGAAGTAAATGCAATTAAATCTTACTCTGCCATCAAATAATTTTGTGAAAGATATGATATGATACAATATGATATAATGTGATATGATGTGATATGATATGATATGATAAAGATCTAATGGGTGATAAAAGATGAAATAAATAAAACTGAATTTTGTTTTGTTAGATCAAATTTCATGAAAGACACTATATGATATGATAAAAGCTTAATGAATAACAAAAAATATTAGATTAAATGATAGATAGAGTTATTATCTAAATGATATCAATGATTGTTTCGACATTATTGGCGTTATTACAACAGCTAAACAAACTGAATAAACTATTATCTGCTCCAATCACATCAAATTTCCTATCGTTTGCCTTTAAATATAACTTTTTTTTTCTTTTTTTTTGTTTTAAAGAGAGGAAGGAAAAAAGAGAAATGTATTAAATTATTTGAATACTTTGAAAAAATCATATTTGAATAGGAATTAAATGAATTATTTTTCGTTGATAATACTATTTCGAAATTTTGGAGTTAAATTTAAATGAAATATGCATAAAAATTATTTTTACAAATGCAGTAAACTATTCGTTTTCCTTGTTTTTTTTCCACTCCAAAACTATTAAATGATATCTTTGATAAAATATTTGTCGAACATTTCTAATAAATTACTTTCTAAAAATGATAAATCAATTTTTACAAAGATTTCAATGCCTACTTATCGTGTAATATTTTAATTATCAAAAAAATAAAAGAAAATACGGACAGTAAGACAAAATTAATTAGTCGATCTATAATTCGACAATAAAACAAAATTAATTAAGCTATTTATAATTGTTTGTCACAAAGGGAAGTTGCAAATAATTATTAATAATTTCCACAAGTAATTTTATTAGTAGAAGTAACATATTGTAGTGACAAGGGCAATTCACTGAGAAAAATTTGTGACAGTATGATGTCAACAGAAACGGAAATGATCGGATATAATTAAATGACAAACTTGTTTTAGCTATGTTAATAACAAATTAGTGTGTAACATTTGTCAATAAATAAATGATATGATCAGTTTGATATGTTTTATTAAAATATTAGCCTTCTTATACATATTATAGCATTTGTCTGGATGATAATAAAAAATGTATGTACTTAAAAGTGATTAAAAAGTTAATTAGTAATTAATTTTAAGTATAGCATACTTTTAAAAAATATACGAAGTAATCGTATCATTGTTAATAATAATTAACTTAATTAAATTTTATTTATTAATTGATTTTAGATGAAACTTATACATGTTACTGTTAATTGCATAATTTTAGACTAACAATCATAACATAATGATTTTTATTAATTAGGATATTGTATCGATTAATATTGAATAGTTTATAACCGGATAATATCAATGCTAACTAAAAATGATCGAATAATATTGATTGATACTAAATAAGCCATAATAAGACAATATCAGTGCTAATTGAATATAATCGAATAAAATCAATCAATATTAATAGTAACTAATGATAACAGAACAAATCAATTGGTACTAAATAGGTTTTAACCGAAAAATGTTAATGATAATTGATTATGATCGGAAATGTTGATGCTAATTAGGGTATAATTAGAAATGATTGCTAAGTAAGATTTAGTAAGAATATGGAATAATTTTGAAAATTAATGGTGTACTAGCACAACTAAAAAATATAATGAAATTTTTTTCAAAATAATTAAAGCCTATATGCTAGTCATATGCATATATAAAAATAGTAGTAGTATTAAATAAATTTTTAATATCAACGAAGTTTCTAGAAATTAAAGTATTAATTATTACGCTTAATATGTACGGACTAATTATCAATGGAATGACAATATGATACGATCATTTATATCATTGAACATCAAATTTTGCGACAAAGTACATATCATTGATTTGATCTTATCATTTTATCTTATTGCAATCATTTATTTATTTCATACAATATAATACAATAAATGAATATTTTCATATTTTACCATTTAATTAAGCAAAAGTAAATAGTATGCAAATTTTTTGTCCATTCAATATGAAATGTTAATTTATGCAAATCAAAAAAAAAAAGTTTAATTCAAAACAATGCAAAAAGTGATTAGTTTATAAGTAAAAAATTTTTTTTATAATTCTAACTAACACAATTTACCATACATATCTTGATGACTTATTTTGATACGAAATATTTAACAGTAATAAAATGATTCCGTAGAAAAATATTTCATTCGGGTCATCCATATGGATGTTTATATTTTATGCAATTTAGGTCATCCTTAAGGATATCATTGAAGTAGGCATAGACTGCTGATAATGATTGTGATGATAATAATAATGATTGCAATAGTGATGATAATGCTGATGATAACGTGATGATAATCACGACATGACAATAACAATAATGATAAGGACAATAGCATCAATAGTATGACCTACCATACTGTATCATCTTTTAGAAAAATATAAAAATCATTGCCAAATAAAATTTCAGTATACCCTTTCATCAATTTGTCTAAGTGTCTAAGTTTTCGCTTTACAGCCATACTTCTTCCGAAACCGGAAAACTTTCAT